GCAGAAGCAACAGAAGCAATCAAATCAATTATTTCCCGAAGAAAATTAAAAAATTTTTTTCTTTATAAATATAAATTTTTCGAGAACATACTTTCACGGAAAACAGTGTTACCAACTTAAAATAAATAATGATAATAATAAAGGAAACTTTTAATTTTATATCCACGTAATAATCGTTGTAAAATGAAAATGGTAAGGGAAAACACTACTGAGGGGGAAAAAATAGTAATAATAATAATAATTTCTATGTTTTACATCCAAAAAAAAAACCGTTAAATATTAATAATGTCAAAACGACGACGAATCGACGGAATCGCGATGATGATGATAATAATAATAAAAGTTTTTTTTTTTTTTTTCATGAAAGAATCCAATTTTTTTTATTAAAAAAATTTCAAAATTAAATGTCAAAATGCATTTTTTTTTTTAAACGGAAGAGTATTAAAATCACGTGAGCTTTACGTCGATAATAATAATAATGATGATGATGATGATGATAAAATTTACATTTGTTAAAAAGGAAAATGATTAAACGACGGTAATCGTCGTGGGAAAATTTTCGTGTTTTCGAATCCTTCAATGATTTTTTTTTTTTTCTAATCGAAACCGGAAGTGTTAAAAAATAAGGGGGGGGGATAATAATTTATTCGAAATATTAAAAAAGATTATTTAAAAAAAAAAAAAAATTTAATTTTAAACAATTAATTTTCTAGAAAGAGACAGAGTGAGACAGAGAGAGAGAGAGAGAGGAAAATTTTTAATTTAAATTTAAATAAAAAAAAGTCTCAACTCGATTTACGATTGAAAAACTTTTTATCCCCTCCCCTCCCCCCATTTTTTTTTCGAGATGAATAAGTAAAAGGAAAAAAAAAGAAAATAATTTTCTGATGAATTTTCTTGTTACGATAAAATAATAATGATAATAATAATAAAAATGAATGGGATCGAAATGATTCGAAATTTTTTTTTTTTTTTACCATTGTTGTGTTTCACCCTTCCCTCCCCTCCCCCTTCCCCCTGATTAACAAAACAACGTTCATCGAACATATACATTTTCACACCTTTAATCTACCCCCTCCCCACGTACCCCCTCCCCCAAACTGTCGGAGAATAAAAAAAAAATTCTCGAAATAAATCAAAACGTAAAATAAAGGATATTGATAAAATAAAAAATTTTTATTATTATTATCGAATGATACTTACGCCCACGTTTCTCTTCCCTCTCGTCCCCTTTTCCCGTCACTTCCGGTCCCATTCATATCCGATTGAATAAAAAAAAAATTGAAAAGATTATCGTTTACATCGAGTTAATTAAAATCATGTTAACATTTCCAGTATTTAACATGTAATCGGTTTTAAAATGTTTAATATTTGGGGGAGGGAGGAGGAAGAGGAGAAGAGGAGGAGGATTTTTAGAAGGATGGTTGGGATGCTGTTAAACAATCTATTCCTCTTCCTCTCACTAAAACAAAATTTGTTGTGTATGAATTTCAAAAACGTGTTAATTATTATATATAACAACATTTTCCCTTTATGTTATGTTATGTTACACACTTGCATTAATAAAACGATAACTAATATCATTGTTTATTATCATTATTATCATTACTATTTCCGGTTTTGACACGATTCATATCCGTAAAATTTCGTTAAATATATATATTCGTTAAAATCGTATACTTAATATAATTATCATTATTTCAAATATTTTCTCCTTCTTTTGTTTTTCGCGTAATTTATTGTTCTTTCCTTTCTTTTTTATTTATTTTTTAATTACGAATTTACCCCGCCCCCCAATCCTTCCCCCACTCCCGCTCGTTAATCGTTTTTGTAATTTTATTTAATTATTTTTGTCGTACTCACCTGTTAATTCCTTTTTCCAACGTGATGTAAACACTACATTAATATTTAAGAAAAAACTCTGCCATCTATCGGATATTTACATGAAACAAAAAAACTGTTTTATCATTTATTCGTGCCTAAGAGATAAAACAGTTTTTATTTATTTACCTTTTCCATTTGAAAAATTTTTTTTTCATTCAAGTTTCGACACGCATTATTATTATTATACGAAAACACGGCGAGACGGAAAAAAAAATTGATAATAATAATAATAGACCGAAAAATTTTGTTTTCTCTCGTCCGACATAATAATAATAATTTATTTGTTAAATCAAATAAAATTATTATTATTATTATTATGTTTTCGTAGCATTTAATTAAAGAGAGCGAACGATTCCGCCCGCGTGCTCGCGTGTATTTAATTAAAACACACACGCACGCACGCACGCACACAATTATTATTATTATTATTATTATTAATTTTAAAATACGTAAATAAGGTGTACACGATAGATAAAATATTATTTAATAATCAATAGTTAATGTATTTTTTTTTAATTAATTAATTTTCCCGGAATAATATATTATAGCGATTTAACTTAAATAATAATAATAATAATTGTTTTTTTTTTTTTTTTACTTATACGTAAGATTTATTAAATTAAACTTAATATGTTTGTATCGATGATGAAAACAAACGTTTATTGCTTGATTAAAACAAACAATGTTTATTTACCCATCAGTGTGTTTATAACTACGTTAATTTACATGGGAATGCATATATGTATATTAATTATCTTCCGGTACTCTTTCGTCGTTTATGTTCTGTAAAAAATAATAATAATGATAAATAATGATAATGATAATACGGTGGATGCGTGTGAAATGACATGATGTTAAAATTTACCCTTCTTTCACCGTATTTCGACCAGAAAGTAACTTTTGATATTGTTTTTTGTCCGGTATGTTGATTAAAAATGGAACATGCATCAAATGGTGGAGAATAAACGTGTAAACTCACGGCTGTGTTCACGTGACTTGGATTTTCAACACGATGAAGACCCAACGAATCTTAAAAAAGAAAACATAAAACATAACTTGTTGCTATTGTTGTTGTTTTTTTTCATTGTTTTCGTTATGTTTTCATTACCGTTTATGT